AAACCCCACCCCCTACCCCCAAATATAATCCACTCTGCAACCCTCATTGCATACTCCTACCATGCCCCAATTATTATGGGACGTTTACAGCTCTTTCTTCTCATTTTGAGTTCTGCCACAACAGCAAATGAACATCCTTTATTGGGTGAAACTTTATTTCATCCACATAATTATGAAATGGTCAGTTCTGTTGTTCATAGGGTTTCTATGGGTTGTACTTAGTTCAACAGTACCTAACAACAACTTTGAGGGAGCTCTGGTGGCTTCAGTGGTAGGGAATTGCACTGCCAGCCAAAAGGTACACAGTTTGAATCCACCACTTGCTCCATGGAAGGAAGCCGGACAGTCTCCTCCTCTACTATGTTTACTGCCTCTGAAAACCTGCCAGAGTGTCAGCTACGAGTCAGTTCTGACTCCACAGTGCTCAACACAACAAAACTACTTTTTTAAAATTTTATTCATTTTAGTGAACATTTACAGAGATTTTGGATTTCCATTCGTTTACTGTTGCACTTTTCTCCCTGCCTAGTCCTGCCCCCCAGTTTGCTCCTCTCTTTGCAAAGTAAAAGAAATATTCTTTCATTGGTATACAATCTCCCCGCACTACTCCCACTGCCCCGAGTACACTCCACTATGCAATCTTAATTCTAGACTCTTGTCATAACCATAATACCCTATCATACATTACTTTTAAACAGTTCTCTCCCTCGTCTGTTTCAATGCAGTATACATTATTGAACCCATCTTTCTCAGTCTCCCCACAACCCTGATGTCAGTCTCGTTCTACAACAGTGACACCATGCAGTATTTGTCCTTTTGTGACTGAGATACTTCACTCAGCATAATGTCCCCCAGGGTCACCCATTTTGAATAATTTTTCATGAGTTTCTTGTTTTTCAATGCAGCGTAGTATTCCATTGTGTGAATATACCACAACTTCTCTAGCCATTCGTTTGTTGATGGGCACTTAGGTTGTTTCCACCTCCTTACTACTGTGAACAAAGCCACGATAAAC